CCGCGCTGAGCTCATGCGCAGCACGCGCAGCCACTGAGGCGCGGGGGACTCCCGCGGGAGGACCCGCTGCCTGGGCGGAGGGACCTGCTCCTGCTTGCTCAGCGTGGAGTGGGGGAAAGCCGCGGGAAGAGCTGCCCGCTTTCAGCAGCTCCCCGCTGCAGCGCGGGCTCCTCGGCCGCTTCTTGCAACCGCCGCTCCTCCTTACGCAGTTGACAAGGCTTCTGCTCCTCGGCCGGTGTTTTTAGCATAAAACGTCCTGCGCGCGTTGCAGAGTCGGGCTACGTACCGGGCCGTTCAGGTGGCGGTGCCAGCAATGCCTCCAGGGGACACAGTTTGCGTAAACCAAAGCGGACGCTCACTTACGCAACCGGGCGTCAAGTCTCACCGCTAAACCCATGCCGAAACGTCACTTTGCTTTTCTATCGTTCTTTACTCGCTGGGGAGGCTTCAATGCAAATATCTCTCCGAAGAGAGAGGAGACGTGGAACAATAACCTACTGCACAATGATACTCTTAAGATTTTAAAACGTACCTTCTGTTGGTCGGGGGTGATCGGTAAAACAAGCTGTGCGTGGCAAATAAAACTTGGGGGGGGATTAAAAAGGTGGCAAGATGTAGCCTGTAACTGAAAGACGAATTTGAAAAGGTGTCGAGGCCAGACGTCGCGGCTCACGCTTCCACAGACGTCTCTCAGACAGACACGGCAGAGGAATGTTTGAATACTTTAGGCGCAGCACCAAGACACTGTGGATTTAGGAATGCTAAGGCGCTACTGCTCGGAACCGACAGGCTCCTAAGGGGAGCCTCTTCCCATCTTTATTCAGCGCCTGCAAGACCAGAGGCTCTGGTCTCGACGCAGAGAAATACTTCAGCGGAATGGAAAGGAGCAGCTCGTCTTTAACTTAACACCCCCGTGTTTACGTTGTAATACATACGGGACAAACAGTGCGGTGACAGTATCTATCCTTCTTCTTTCTTTTTCCCCTCAGAAATAAAGCAGCACCACAACCTTGGGAGGCTGGAAAAAGGCCTATATAATCATTTCTCAACGGGACACACGGCAGAAATCAAAGCCTCCGGACACAGTTTCTCCAACTTGGCTTCGGAAGACCGGGTAAGCAGTTTTCAGTGTATAGAAAAGGAGGCTCAAGTTATGCCCCTCTTTCTGTGCGTAGAAATAACAACAGGAAGGATGAAGCCAAGCATCAGCCATGCAGCAAACTGCAAAATGGCAGTATTTCCCAGAAATCGAAGCAAATGCAAAAGAATTTGCTTTTGGGGTTAAGCGTGTGGCATTTAAACATAAATTCTCCAACGTGCAGTGTTTGCTACAGCCGCCTTCACACAAAACCAGCTCTTTTCTAGCACATGCTCACACTGGGGGTGAAGTATTTAACAGCTTATAACAAGGATAATTTACCTGCTGGTATGTAGCCTTGCAAAGTGTAAGATTTACTTTATGGAATAAGCAGTAGAGTACGTGAAATATGGACGTTAAGGTCAAACACAGCACGTCAGGAGTCAGCACACAGGTACCCTTTTAAGGCAGTATGGCATCGGACCAAAATAAAAGTACGTTTTTCTTCCATGAGGGGAGCAAGACCGAGAAAGAGAGAATTTTTCTTTGCCTTTCTCCATGACCGAAGCCCACAGGCCCACGGTCTCCCCTTGCTGTACAGGAAAAAAAAGCAACCATTTTGTTTCTGACTGCATCAGAACATACACAGCCTCACGTACGGCTTGTCCAACTACTCTAACAGGTCAGGGTACGCAGCCTTACGGTTGTAACCCACCCAAACTCTGCCTGTGCAGGATCAGGTTAACCGCTGAAAACAAAAACTGCCAGAAGCAAACTTTTCTGAGCTGGCTGTGAGGGCTTCCTGCCCTGGACTCTCCCTGCTAGACCATCCTGCCGCCTGGCCTATTTGGCCAAATCAGGTTCAAACTCCGCAACCATAAAAACATCCACTCTCGTGGATGGCCTTTCATTTCCAGCTTGGTTTTTTGGATTCTCTCCCATTCTTATACACATGCAAAAAAAAAAAAAAAAAAAGAGCTCTTGTGCTTCAAATTTTGAATGTGTGGTCCTTGGCCACACAAATGTCATGCAGACATTTTTGTACTCGAGAAGCTGCTTCTAGGATGCTATCTGATTGCCAAGAAACTCTTGAGTTTAACCTGAAGAAGTTTTCTGTGTGAAAGACATGGAAAATTCCTGTAGAAGAAACTCAAAGTCAGGTTTATTCCTCTTAACTTACTCCTAGCTGAAGCACCTCTTGGACACAGTTTAACTAGCAGAAGCTATGCCAAAAAAAAAAAAAAAAAAATCAATCCTAGAAATTACAATGGGTTTAGAGACCTGCTCACTGCACGAAGCAGGTAACAGCTAGTGTCCACTTGTAGCATAACAGGTGACATACTTTGGTGACAGATAAAAATATGCCCCATTGTCATGCTCCTCTTCAAGAGAGCTTTAAGCACTAACGTCATGGTCAAGCACCAAAACCACACTGAAGCTATCTCACAGACAGGAAACCCAAAGAGAGGACAGGTTACCATTTAGACAACTTCATCACACTGGGATGCAAATACATGGCAACTTCGGTTCTTAGGCAGTTGTCCAACACTGTATGTGGAACAAGAGCCTGGTGGTGTTTCTGGATCGTGACCTTCGGCATGGCATGCGTTCAGCTACACAGGTAACACTACCCTGGGTCAACACTTTCAGGTGTGGTTGATCCAGTCATAACCTACCTCCACATGAAGGGCTGGCCTCTGCTCGTAGATCGGGCAGATCCAGAGAGCCCTCTTTACTAGTCTATGTGTTGTTCTAGTAGCCTCTGATATTGCTATAGTCAGTTTTCCCTCTGTAGAAAACAATTTAAAATAAGGTATTTCTGTGGAAAAGTCTTCTCTCCAAAAGCAGGGAAAAGAAGGTAAGTGTT